TCTCTCTCTCTCTCTCTCTCTCTCTCTCTCTCTCTCTCTCACACACACACACACACACACACACACACACACTCACTCCTTCCTCCCTCTTTCTTGGCCTGGAGAATCTTCACACAGAAAGTTAACCCTAGCTCCTCAGAACCCACTCTCACAGGAGTGGCCTCTGTTTTGTTTTGTTTTCTTTCACAAGATTTCTTTCTAACCTCTAAACTGTCAGTCGGACATCCCCCAAGGGGTTCCAGATTGCAAGAGCGAGCAGACCAGGCTGAGGGCAACCCCCCCCCCGCATTAATTTTGTGCATTGGGCCTCTAGTGTTGAATAAAAGTGGTGAAAGCAGACATCCCTGTCTTGTTCCTGTTCTTAGGGGAAATGGTTTTAGTTTTTGCCTATTGAGTATGATGTTCACTGTAGGTTTGTCATACATGGCCTTTATTATGTTGAGATATGATCCCTCTAATCCCACTCTCCTGAGAGTTTTTATCAAAAAATGGGCATAGGATTTTGTCAAATGCTTTCTCTGCAGTTATTGATATGATCATGTGATTTAAAAAATATGTATATTTTTATTGATTTCAGAGAGGAAGGAAGATGGAGAGAGAGATAGAAACAACCATGATGAGAGAGAATCATGGATCGGCTGCCTCCTGCAAGTCCCCCACTGAGGATCAAGCCCTCAACCCAGGCATGTGCCCTTGACCGGAATCAAACCTGGGACCTTTCAGTTCACAGGCCGATACTCCATCCACTGAGCCAAACCAGTTAGGGTGATCACGTGATTTTCATCATTCAAATTTTGTATGTGATGTATAACATTTATTGATTTGTGAATATTGTACCAGCGTTGCATCCCTGGAATAAATCCCACTTGGTCATGATGTTTGATCTTTTTAATATATTGCTGGATCTGATTTGGTAATATTTTTGGAGATTTTAGCATCTATGTTCATCAGGAATATTGGCCTGTAATTCTCTTTCTTTGTAGTGTCTTTATCTGGTTTTGGAAGTAGAATAATGCTGGCCTCATAAAAGAGCTTGGGAGTATTCCTTCCTCTTGGACTTTTTTGGAATAGTTTGAGGAGTATAAGTGTTAGTTCTTTGAATGTTTGATAAAACTCCCCTTTGAAGACATCTGGACCAGGCTTTTGTTTGCTGGAAGTTTTTTGATTACTGCTTCAATTTCATTAGTTGTTATTGACCTGTTCAGGTTTTCTGATTCTTCTTGATTCAGTTTTGGGAGATTGTATTTTTCTAGGAATTTGTCCATTTCATCCACATTGTCCAGCTTGTTGGCATATACTTGTTTGCAGTATTTTCTAACTATCTTTTGTATTTCTGTGGTGTCAGTTGTTACTTCACTGCTTTCATTTCTGATTTTGATTATGTGGGTCCTTTCTCTTTGTTTCTTTTTTTTTTCCATTTTATGTGCCTCAGGCATGAAACAGCTCTGGCCGCAGAAACAGGCATCAAGCTAGGATGAACTAAGGACTGTCCATCTGCTCTGCCCCTGACTGATATAAGAGCAACACCACCAATCAGGTGTCTCCTTGCCCATTGCCAGGGGGTACTCTTTGTTTCTTGATTAATCTGGCTAAAGACACATCAATCTTGTTTATCTTTTCAAAGAACCAGCTCTTAGTTTCATTGATTTTTTGTATTGTTTTTTAGTCTTTATGTAATTTATATATGCCCTAATATTCATTATTTCCTTCCTTCTACTGACTCTGGGCTTTTCTTGTTGTTCTTTTTCTAATTCTTTAAGTTGGAGGGTTAAGTCATTTATTATTAAT